CAGGCTCAGAGCCAGGGGTGCCCTCTCCCCTTGCCTGCAAGTGCCCACATGTGCTCTCATTTACTCCTCTTAGCAACAATCCCTGGGAGGCATGGGTAGAGCTCAGTCGTCACTTTGATAGACGCATGTCAACTTTGTTCTATATTTTATCATGAAATATTTGATACATAAATGTAGATGTCTTATTTCTGTAAGTTGCCAAGCCCAACAAACAAAACCTCAGAATCTACCACTAAGCTTTGGGAAATAAACCACTCTCAGTTTTCACGGTGTTTTTCTGGGCTCCTGTCTGATGCCATCCTCCTGCCTCTGTCCCAGAGGTCGCCCCTGTCTTGGTATTTGTCACCCAACCCCCCATATATATTTACACATAGATAGGTATCTCTAAATAGTGTGTGTTGAGCTTTTTAAAAAAATGGAATTCTAGTCCTTTGAGCTTCATTTAAATGCCACATACTGTCTTGGAAGATAAAAAGGCGGACCTGTGGCCTTGAAACATGGGTTTCCACTGGTGCAGACAAATCTTGTTTTCTCTGGTGGCACCTCCCCAGGGTCCGGGAGAAGGCCTGGCTGCCTCCACAGATTGCGACAGCAGCTGTCCACAAGAGGGGGTTCTGGGGCTGGCCAGGGAAGTGGAGTTACTAGAATTACAGTCCGCAGGGACGCTCAGGCAATGCCAGGCCCCCCAGGGGAACGAGTGTTCTGGGCATCTAGGAAGCAGATGGACAAGATTCCGACTCCAGCGATGCACGAGGGTGAGCAGGGAGACTGGAAGGCCAAGTGCTGGACGTGGAGCTCGCAGAGAGGACTCAGGCAGCAGGTGTGGGTCAAGGATGCTTCACTGGGAACATTCCCGAGCTCCAGTACCTGCATTCCTTGTGAGGGTGGGTGGTCGCTTCTGGGGACCACAACAGAGGCCTGGAGGAGCCCAGGGAGCACCACCACCTTCTGCCTGTATCTTTGAGCAACTGTTTGCTGAACACCTACTATGTGCCCGGGATCAGACAGTGACTTAGACTTTTTCCAGGTGATAAGGACCTCATGGTGTAGTCGGAAGTCAGTGCTGCTACCTTTGGATACGTTACGCTGTGCTCGCAGAGGATTCCCAAACATAAGTGGCTCATGGCAGCCAGCAACCATTACCTCCTGTGCATGTTGTGTATTCACTCTGGGTTAGCTGCAGCTCTGGTCCTTGCCCTCCGCCCTCCCCTCCGGGCCCCAGGCCAGAGGATCAGCCCTTTTGTGGTTTATGTCGTATTTATAGTAGGGGGAACAGCAAGAGAGGTGATAAAAGTAAGCCGTGGTTCTTAAAACACCTGCTCAACCCTGGCCTGTCACGCCTACTCACAGTCCCCAGAGAGAGCAAGTCACGTGGCCAGGACTGATGTCCATGGGGAGGGGGGCCCACTCCCCCCCACCCCCCTCCCGGGGCGGTGAGCGGAGCAGAGATTCCTCTTTCAGGGAGGCCAGAGAATGTCTGGGAAGAGTATTACAGTCTGTCATAGATATGAACAGGCAATTCTGGTAACAGTAGGATAAGGCTTTAGAGTAAGTAATACTGTATTAAGTTTTGACTTTACAAAATAAATTTTCATATACAAATATATTGTTGCCCCTAAGTTAGCTTTGGGGATTCTGTTGAGAAAATAGTTTGAGAACTGAAGCAGGATTGTTTCCAGAGCAGTGGGGCGGAGGGAGGAGGCAGGACTGGCCACCGTGGTCTTCTCTCTAGCCCTGGGCACATGCATACAGGATTTGAGAAGAAGCTTCTTACACAGACAACCCCCTGCCCCCTTCCAGGCTTCCTCTTGGCGTGCGTTCTGTCCACCTGGCTGGCAGCAGGCCCATCCCATTCCTGTGGGGCTTTTTGTGCCACATCCCTCCATACACACGACTCCTGCCCACTTCACAGTCCTGGCCACATGGCTTTAGAGGGATGTGCTCTTTTGTGCCTCCTCATGAAGTCTGTTGAGGTTGGAGGCCTGGGCTGTGGCTGCCTTGCCTCCAGTCCCCACCACCCCTCCAGCCACACTGGGCACATACTAGACGCCTAACAAGTACGTACAAAAGGCAGTTGCCTCGAAGGGAAGTCATCACCCCATAGGCTTGTCTTGCGCTTTCTCCGTGAGGCTGGCTACCGTGTGGGTGACAGTTGGAGTCACCCAGAGTGACTCCAGGATGTTTACAGCCAGGTTTGAGGCACTCTTGCCCTCGGTTTGTAATCGGGACGGGGACTGAATAGCTCGGCCTTCTCCATGAGCCGGTATTCATCTGTCCTCAGGCGTGTTGCTTTGCAAATGCTAGTGGGCTTTTCAGAAGTATGCATTTGTGTTTTCCAAGGGCAAGGACTGTATTTCTATTTTTTCTTTTAAAAGATTCCCCATGGCCCCCGATAAGAACCGCACACAAAGTGGGTGCTTGGTAAATTTTGCCTGTCTCCTCTTCCTTGGAACCTCCACCAGATACAAACATGGTTCTGGGCCCGTGGGCCTTAGCAAAAGGCTGATTGCATGCAGGCCTGGATCCTGAGAATTGTGTAATTGGAAAAGGAATGAAGTGTCAGACAACTGAGATCCAGGCCAATAGCAACCTGGGGTACCGTATGGGATGTCTGCTCTCTCAAGCCTGTGCACGTGGCAGGACCAGTGATGTGGGACCAGCAAGTGCCTAGCCCTGCGCTCAGACATGGTTTAGAATCCACCCTGAATGATCATCGTGATATTTTATGGGTTATTTAACTTGTCGGAGTCTGTTTCTTATCCCTTAGATGTCAGGATCCTAAAAATACTGTTAATTGTTGTACTCTTTTGCACCTATAAATAACATCCTTTCCAGCCTGTGTTCTGAATCCATTGAGACTTGACGATAAAAGTGGCAGAAAGTGGCCAAAACACTACTAGTGTGGCTGATAAAGGATTGACAAGAAGAGATGCCGGCTTTTGGACTTCACCATTGAATCTGAGAATTAAATGGGTGCTTGCACCCAGTCCCAGGCTAGAGACACCCACAGGCATCCTCTGGGGAAACGACTGTGTAGCACTCAGGTTTGGGATAGTTGAAGCAAAAGCAGTCACTCCTTGCTTGTTCCAGATGGGTCGAGGCTGGGCCTCATATACACCATCCGGCGAGCTAACTAGGTGGTTACTCTGCCTCCATGCCCAGGGAGAGCGTGTGAGCAGCTGAGAGGGCCTAGGGTCACTGCATTGGGGCAGAAGCACCCTATGTAAAGAGTAAGGAAACAGGGGGAGGTGCCCTTCTGCTGTGGAGTGGGCCTTTGTGGACCCCTGGAACTCCGAGATGTTGTTTCAGATGAATACTTCTGTTAACAGGGTGCCTGGGTGGCTCAGATGGTTGGGCGTCTGCCTTCAGCTCAGGTCGTGATCCCGGGATCCTGGGATTGGGTCCTGTGCATCAGGCTCCCTGCTCCGCGGGGAGCCTGCTTCTCCCTCTGCCTCTCTCTCTCTCTCTCTCTGTCTCTGTCTCTCATGAATAAATAAATAAAATCTTTAAAAAAAATACTTCTGTTCACAGTTACAGTTGCATTTATCATTGACTAAAGTAAGCACCACAGTGCTCTGCAGTGATCCTAGATGTTACCCCATGCATTTGGAAAGACATAAAAGGCCATTTCTTATTCAGCATTCTGCCATTTGGACCTTGACCTGAAATGCACTCCTTCCTTCTCTCTCTTTGCTCCCATGAGCCTATCTGGTTGGAGTGGCACTGGCCACTTCCTGGGGAAGCCATATGGGGGTCTGCTCAGCTGCATTCTTTTTTTAGTCCCCCCTATTTATTTATTATTTTGATGTAGTGTTCCATGATTCATTGTTTGTGTATAACACCCAGTGCTCCATTCAATACGTGCCTGCTTTAATACCCGTCACAGGCTAACCCATCCCCCCACCCCCCTCCCCTCCAGAACCCTCAGTTTGTTTCTCAGAGTCCATAGTCTCTCATGGTTCGTCTCCCCCTCTGATTTCCCCCCCTCATTTTTCCCTTCCTACTATCTTCTTTTATTATTATTTTTTTTAACATATAATGTATTATTTGTTTCAGAGGTACAGGTCTGTGATTCATCAGTCTTACACAATTCACAGCGCTCACTGTAGCCCATACCCTCCCCAACGTTCATCACCCAGCCACCCCATCCCTCCCACCCTACCACTCCAGCAACCCTCAGTTTGTTTCCTGACATTAAGAATCCCTCATATCAGTGAGATCATATGATACATGCCTTTCTCTGATTGACTTATTTCCCTTAGCATTATATTCTCTAGTTCCATCCACGTTGTTGCGAACAGCAAGATTTCATTTTTTGATGGCTGCATAATATTCCATTGTATATATATACCACATCTTCTTTATCCATTCATCTGTTGATGGACATCTTGGCTCTTTCCACAGTTTGGCTATTGTGGGCATTGCTGCTATAAACATTGGGGTGCATGTACCCCTTCGGATCTCTACATTTGTATCTTTGGGGTAAATACCCAGTGGTGCAATTGCTGGGTCATAGGGTAGCTCTATTTTCAACTTTTTGAGGAACCTCCATACTGTTTTCCAGAGTGGCTGCACCAGCTTGCATTCCCACCAACAGTGTAGGATGGTTCCCCTTTCTCTGCATCCTCGCCAACATCTGTCGTTTCCTGACTTGTTAATTTTAGCCGTCTGAGTGGTGTGAGGTGGTATCTCATTGAGGTTTTGATTTGGATTTCTCTGATGCTGAGCGATGTTGAGCACTTCTTCATGTGTCTGTTGGCCATTTGGATGTCTTCTTTGGAGAAATGTCTGTTCATGTCTTCTGCCCATTTCTTGATTGGATTCTTTGTTCTTTGGGTGTTGAGTTTGATGAGTTCTTTATAGATTTTGGATACTAGCCCTTTATCTGATATGTCATTTGCAAATATCTTCTCCCATTCTGTCGGTTGTCTTTTGGTTTTCTTGACTGTGTCCTTTTGCTCAGCTGCATTCTTAAAGCCTCTTCTGTCTCTCTTTTGCAGTGCAAGTTGGAGTTCCATGCTTGTTCCACTGGAAAAAGCCTCACCATCCTCTGTGACGGGCCCTGTCCATGTCTTCCAGAGCCTGAGCCACCAAAACACAAGACAGAAAAGAATGGTGAGTGGGGATTGCAGGAGACCCCCTAGAGGGAGGCTGACATGGCCAAGCTCTGCTCCCAGTGCTAGGAAGCTGGCAGTTAACAAAGCTGTTTGAGCCCACACAGGGGGAAACGGAGGGACTTGGCAAGTACTCCAGCTTGTGTAGGGACTTGAAACTGAACTGCCTTCAGCTACCATTAAAAAGAAAAAGAAGAGCTAAGAGTCTTGGAAAATAATTCTATGAGACCAGGATATGCACTAGGTTCTTGCAGTGGTCATGTCGGCTGTGACATGAGAAGGGCAGGTTTGTTCGCGTCTCAGACCACGGCCCGCCTTGGGGTGTGTCTTGGTCTTCCTTGAACTTGAATCTCTAAGTCCTTTGAACTTCTCAAGGCCGCGTTTCAAAACAGACTGCAGAGAGGGCACAAGAGTGGAGAGTCTTCCACCCTCCAAAAGGCATTTCTTCATTAATATATTCTGCTTGGATTGCAGCATGGAGCCAGGGAACACACAGAAGGAGAAAAACTCTCCAGGGCCAGCTGTTTCTCTCCCATGGCTGAGAGGGGCAGGGAAGGTTGGCCTTATTCGGATGTTTCAGTGATGGAGAAAGTAAGGCTGTTCCTCTGGCCTTGGCCCGCTTTTGAGCCTTCCTTAATGAGAGCCAGGATGGAAGTTTGCATCTGCCTTCTGTGGGGCTGGGCTTTCTCCATGGTAGCTGCTGTTCCATGGAAAATGTTGCACGTTTCTGTGCGTGAATGAATGTGTGTGCGTGCGTGCACGCATGTCTCTTCTAAATGTCTTCTGTTGGTAATGGGAGAGGGTGATTAGGGTGTGTGTGTTCATGCATTCCCCTCTTCGTAGGTCGTATTGCTTTTTCCAGGGCACATAGGTGAAGATGCTTGAATGTGCCTTGTTCATGGCGGCGATCACAGGAATATTGTGTTAAGATGCTCTTCGGAAGGTCTGGCTGAGAATGTGGAAGGACCTTGTAAACCAGTGCTAGGGTCACAGCTAATCCCCATAAATTCCTCTTGATTAGCAAAAAGCTGATCTCCCTGTGTTTGGGTCTGATTCATTTATATAATTGCAGTAAGAAATGTTCATTCATGTACATGCGCTCCCTTGGAGTATGGTCTGAAAACCTAAAGCCCTGTGGTGTGAAGAAACTACAAAACCCAGAAAATTCACTTTTGTCTGGGGATTTCTTAATAATCTGAGGAAGTTTCAATAGTCTCTGTTATTCTGGGTATATTATGTACTGGTTTTATTTACTTTTCTATTCGGAGGTGAGGAAGCCAAGCCAAGAAAGTCACCTCCACCATTTTGCCTGTGGTATCTCTACAAGGGGGTGAATTCACCTCTCCTCAGGGGCCCCAGATCTGCTCAGGCTTCCTGATTTGCCTTGGTAAGGTAACAGACTGGTTTCATGGGAAGTCTCCACATGAAGTACAGTGCCTGTTTCTTTCTTTCTTCCTTCCTTCTTTCCTTTTCCTTTCCTTTCCTTTCCTTTCCTTTCCTTTCCTTTCCTTTTTCCTTTTTCCTTTCCTTTTTCCTTTCCTTTCCTTTCCTTTCCTTTCCTTTCCTTTCCTTTCCTTTCTTTCCTTTCCTTCCTTCCTTCCTTCCTCCCTTCCTCCTCCTCCTCCTCCTTCTTTCTTTCTTTCTTTCTCTTTCTTTCTTTCTTTCTTTCTTTCTTTCTTTCTTTCTTTCTTTCTTTCTTTCTTTCTTTCTTCTTCTTCTTCTTCTTCTTCTTCTTCTTCTTCTTCTTCTTTCTTCTTCTTTCTTCTTCTTTCTTCTTTCTTCTTCTTTCTTCTTCTTTCTTCTTCTTCTTCTTCTTTCTTCTTCTTCTTCTTTTTAAATAAACTCTATGCCCAACATGGCGCTTGAACCCCTGACTCGGCGATAAAGAGTAGTATGCTCTCCTGACTGAGCCTGCCAGGCACCCCAATGCTTATTTCCTAATGGTAGACTTGTCACACCTGATTAAATGAAATTCACTCTCAAATATGACACTCCAGGTATGGCCTTGCCTGTACCATGCATTTGTTTAATTATGTTCTGGTAAAAACTAGAACAGATTCTTACTGAACCTTCGCAAGTTACTGCATTGCCATTAAACAACAAAGAGACTTAGAAAAGAGTATTGTTCGAGAATCCTGAAAGGTCAGTGAGAATAAGAATGCCATTTAAAAGTGTTTCATTTGAAAATATTTGAAAAAGCGTCAACTACTAGGTTAATAGTAAGAGATAAATCAGGAGGAATGCAAAGGGGCTCATATACCCATCAGAAATGACAACAATAAAAAAGTAATATCAGCAGTATTCCAAAACAAGTAATCCAAATTATATTTCCTTCATCAGTTCTTTTAGTCGTTTGTAATTATTTTTTGTTCCACTGGCTCGTGGGTCAGTGGTTTGCTTTTATGAAGTCCTCTGCCTCTGCATGGGAAGGAGCTCTGGAACTCCACACTGTGTCTCACATCATCTGGCACTTGTCTAAGAAATACCACCTTGGAAGCTTGCAATGATGAGTCTGTTACTTGAGGTATCGATCAGACTGGGTACAGTTCTTTGCCTGAGGCTCTGAGACTGTCCTCCTTGGTTTAAGACCCACTTTCTGGGCTGTGACTTACTGCGGAGTTTTTATACAGGCGTGAGGGGGAAGCAGAAACTACGTGCTGATAAGACCGGGTGGCTGTAGTTAACTTACTACATATGCAACAACATCCTCATGGAGGAGACTATACTCCCCTATCAGGGTGTAATGCTTAACTATTTAATACAGATTTGATCAATGTTCACCCTGGGGGATAAGAATATACTATGGGCAGTGAAGGCAGTGATAAGTCCCCGGGGTCATTATATGAAATGCAACATTGAACTTAGTAACATTTTACCTGGACACAGTGGAGGGAAGGCTGACCTTTTCCTTTGATTTGACAGTTCTTTCCATGAGGCTCTCACAAGCGTGGGGAGGGGGGATGGCGAAGGGGAAGGAGAGGGTGCAAGGGGGAGATCAGGGCCACAGAAAACTTGGGATATACTTCGATAATCTTTTAGTATCAAGAAAGACTGGTGAGGTTGCTCTCTCCAGCACTCTGTCCTTGGATCTACTTGGCAGCCATTTCTATTTTATGCAGAGGGTATTTCCATAAAGCTTGCCCCGAATTGAATTTCCACTTGGTAGGAGAGCACAGGTCTTCTTTATCACTGGGGCTGTTCACCTGTCTGTGGTTTCACAAGCGCCTTATCCCTGTCTGGGACCCAGAGTTGGGTTGGAGAACAGGGAGAACAGTGGTGAGCAGAAGCTTTCTTAGGGGCTCACCTACCTCCACCTGTTCTTCTCCTTCCCAAAATGGTACTTCTTGTAGCCTCAACTTGGATCAGTGCTGGATGTGAGTGTCGAAGGTATGTGAGGGCAGGGTCTAGCACCTTGTCTTAAAAATCTCAGAGCGTTCTACTTCTTCTAGCCTTTGGTCTTTGAATTACAACATCTCTAGTTCTTGCAAATCAGAACTCTCTTGTCTCAGCTTTAAGTTTTAAGAGCATTTCTAGGAAGTCAAAGCCAAGTGGTTGATTATTTGTTCTCTTGATTTTTTTTTTATTGGCATCTCTCCTTTGATGTGGTCCCTGAAGACATCGTAGAGGGTGGGGTCATCCTTGAATACCTAGGAATATTTCCTCTCACACCTCTCAGTGATGTCATGACCTTTTAAATCTCTCATCTCTGTCAGGCCGGCCCCTAGAGTACAGAAAAGTGATTGTTTCATATATATATATATATATATATATATATATATGACTGAAATCTCATCTTAAGCCTGGATTTCTGTGCTTTTTTAAGAGTTTTCCAGAAAAGATTGGCCTCAAATTTCTCTTAGTATTTTCCAGTCCCCAATAGCCAGCCCAGTTAGGAAGTCAGTTCTTGTATCTGACATGAATGCTTTAGCTTGGGGGGGTTACTTCTGCTGCTTTTTCTTCAATCCTCAATGAAGGATATGAGGCACTTGTTCCTTGATTTCTTCACAGTGGTTGAAAATCTAAGAGGAAAATAGAGTTTTCTTCCCATTAGAGTCATCAGAATACATTTTTAAACCAGCCAACATTTCCCCTCTTTCTAGCCTGAGCCTGGCCCCCTCCTGCCTGTCCTCCCTTCTCTCAAACAACCCTCTCCACCCCTGACCTGGGCTTGGCAGCCTTATTCCGTCCAAAGGAGGGGTTTGAGGCTCCCTCGTTGCTGAGGTGAGAATTTTGCAGCTGTAGGATATAACATCAGGAAAAGATGTCACTTCTCTTTTTCCATACCATGTTGAGGGAACCCTCGTGTTCCTGAAGATGCCTCCGGTTTCCCGTGAGGACCAAGGGATGGGGCCTCAGACCCCGCCCAGAATGATTCTGTTTTTATGCTTTACCACGTTACATTGCCTCTGTAGGAAAAGAGTTGGACCACCGGGGATCTTTGTGCTGGTCCCATTTGCCAGCAGAGGAGCCCGACGGCTCAATGAGAGAGAGAACCTTCCCTGAGGTCAGACAGTGGGTGGGGATGGAGCTCTCATAGCCCATGCCTCCGGAGTCCCAGGCTAGTGCCTTTGTACAGCTGGGGGGTGGGGGGACCTCACTTGTCCAAATCTTGGAGTGTCAGCCGTCAAGCAGAGAATGTCATGGTGGTCTCCACAAGCAGCAGTATTTTGAAGGCATTCTGCAGAATCTCTCCGCTTCCCTCCTCCTCTGTCTTTTGAGGAAGAAGTAGAGAGAACATCACTCTCTCTGAGCACAGCTCCTTCTTTGCTTCTGTTGGCACAGATTAGCTTTTGGAGAAGGGGGCTATGGGTCAGCAGGCGACCTGGAATGCTGGAGAAGGCTGTGATGCTGTCATCTGTTCCCAGCCTGGCAGGGGCTGGGAGGTAGGGGTGGCGGGGGGGGGGGGTGTGTGGGTGGAGATTGGCTCAGGCCAGGGAGGAAAGGGGATGACAGGTCTATGTAGCAGGGCCGTGCTGAAGAGGGAATAACAGCTTCCCGGCC